TAGTAATTGCGAAATTCGCACTCAACTTTGCTCATGCGCTTGTGCGAATTGAGCACCAGCTACCGAGAGATGTTCAACGTTTTACTGCCGGGCCTCTCGCTGTAAAGGGGCCACGTTGCGGAAAGCTAATCAGGGTCTTGCATCGAAGTAGCCCAGTATGAGGTTTGCCCGGTAGAGCTGCGGGAGCGGCCTAATATACTGTGACACTGCCCCGCGGCACTGGGCGTGGGATTCGCGAAGCTTGCTAGTTATCTACCCCAGGCGGGTTTTCTCGGCACGTGGGTCTCTGCGAGCCTCGCTTCCCGGCTCGCTCTCGCTCCCACAGAGAGGTGATGGTGGTGGTGGAGGTGGGGGTTCTTAGTGGTAGTTGGGTCGGCTGGATATGTGAATTGGACTACTTGGTCACACTGTGATGCAATAGCCTTTGACCGGTTTACTGATGGTAGAGGTCAGGAGTGTCCTTCCGGGATGGCATGACTTGCTATTATATACTTTGCTAGTCTATTGCGTTTGGAGATGGGGCATTGTTATTTAGACCAAATTGCTAGCATCTTAATAACAGGGGATCCCTTCCAGCAGGGCGGGATTTTTTTCCTTCCTCGCACTAGTCCTAATGTCGCCGTGGGTGGTACGAATCCGGTATTAGGTGACCCAATGTAGAATTAGGTGGCACAATTAGACGTGTGTTGTGATATACCTATAGCTGCGCAGAGATAGTGCTAACCATCGCACACATACAGACCATGATAGTCTTGCCCATACTGACGGAGCACCACGCGCGCTGCGTTAAAAGGCTGTCGAGATCCAATGGTTGTTTTATTTGCATATGCAACGTCCGCATTTGGCAGAGGTTATCATATTTCACGTCACGGATAGCAGATTCTCTCGAACATCTCAAGGCTATTGACATAGGAACGGACCTGCACGTTTGGGAATGTTACCCGTAGTATTAGAGTCTGTTTATAGATTACTACCAAGTGTGTTTCCAGTGTGCCTGAACAGACTGCTAGAACCGTTTGGATGCGAGGATAAACAGAGCTATTGTATGATAGGTGTGGCAGCAGAGGACCGATCCTTCATAAGCTATTCATTCCTCACAATCTGTGTTCTTGGATTGGAGTTTACTACTTGACCTGAAGGTGTATCGGGCAGCTTGGTGCCTATTTGGGGGGGGGGGGGAAGAATTGACTAGGAACTCATGTTTTTGAGTGATCTTGTACCGTGCTGTAGTCCTCCCGAAGTTGTGAGGTGTTTGGTATTCCACCAAACGGTGGCTATTGGAATTTTGAAACTTGTAGAGTAAGGATAACACAAAACGGTTGGTTTGAAATTTTACCTCTGGTGGGGGAGGGGAAAATTCGAACGGGCTTAATATAAGTCAATGATCAAACCCATTGCTTTCCGGACGGTGGGATGGAGCACAAGCTACTAGAGTTATGATATCGATTCTCCATCGTATGACACTCGCTTTCTGAACAAGTCCGAAAGTTAGAATATGCAGCACGCGAGTAGAAGATCTAGGCATGTCTTGGTGAACTGGGCCCTGCCCTCCACTCAGTCTGATCATAATTCTTTTCTAGTGCGTCACCTGACACTATGGATTTACGGTGAGATGCTCTCCCATCGCCCCTCGAGATTTCCGGAGGTGATGAAGCTCCGCAGGTCCATCACTGATGGACCTGGCCCCGTGGCATGGATACTCCCATGCACCGCCAATGACAACCCTAGATCGCTTCATGGGCAGGGCCACTCGCTGCTCACTCTGGAATCTCCGATGGGCCTCGATCGGTATGGCCAAACATCTCTTGGGTGGCCGCCCACTATAGTTAGACACAGCGGAATTGTCACGTCCCTATAAACCGGCTAATGGATGCTCTAACCACATCGACTGTCATCAAATTTCCCGCTTCTGACGCCCCTCCCGAGCTTCACTAGGGCAATCGCTACCCTCGCTTCACTTGGCACCCACCCTCTTTCCGAATTTGCGATGTCCCTAGCTCCATCTCCACACCCGGTGCAGCTCCAGTCTGGACTTCTCTTTCAGTTGACTTGTTGGATTGCCTATCGGGCGTGCTCTTAGAAGATATACGGTTGTAAGGCAGAGGGTTCGCGATTTGTGTTTTGTTAATCCCTGCTGCCATGGGGCTGCATTTATGGGGGATTAGCTTTTTTCCTTTTACACCGTTTGCTATTCAGTGTTCCCAACCGTCCGGGGGCCCCACGGGGGCTGATAAGAGCCCTGGACGGGACGGGACGGCCATGTGCAGTCCGTCTCCGGCGGTGAAAGTAGAAGACAGCCGTCTTTGGGTAAGTCGGCGGGGCACTCCCAAAGACGGCAGGGGACTACAAGGGACTGCGGGGGACTGCGGGGGATGGCGGTGAGCAGCGGGGACAACGGGGGACGGTGGGGTACGGTTGGGAATACCGACATTGCTATTAGGCATATGTCAGTTTGCTTGAGCTCTCACAAGGAACGATGAGATATCTAGAGAGTTCTAGGGTGTTGAAGAGTCTCACCGCATTACCATTTGCTAGGTCGGTGCTTTTCCTTTTTCTGGGTGGAATTTCTTCGGTTTCGACTGCTTTGGAGATATATCTCCTCGTCTGCTAGACCTACCCTCTCCATCCATCCCCAGTTCACCACCCTTCCACTACCCGCTGCTCAAACAACCCTGTGATGATCGCACTCGCATTGATTCATCTGTTATGGTCTTCTCTAAGCTTCACATAAAAGACTCGAGTACATCGAGCTTATACCTTTTCTTCCCCTCTTGTCTTCTCAGAAAGTTTCAGCAAGTGCTCTTAGCCGATTTTAGCGGTATTTCATTCCTATGTCCGCCGTTGGTTGCCGGGTTCGTGGGTTCCTTTATTTTTGCTTTCGACCACATTCGTTAGTGTTTTCAACGTTGAATCATTTCTCAGGGGTACGATACTCTCCTTGGGGGGCCAGGGGGTAGGAGACGTACGGGGTTAGTGATTGTTCTTCAATTGCTTAGAAGATTCATAAGATCAGTGTAGTGATTTACATAATCTCGAAACCCCTCGATTGTTGTAGCTTAAATACCCTATCAGTCTATGAAGCAAAAGGCGAATTCCATACTCCTTTTTATCTGTCAGGAGAGATGATGGCGTAATCCCAATAGCAGGATGTCAAGGAGAATGTGTGGCGTTAAACTCGAGAAGTACGGGGGAGCGTAGGTGTATATGATAGGCTGCGAGTGTGGGCCCTTGGTTAGTTGGTGTAGCTGCCCCATGTGATGATAGGGGAACCAAACTATTAGTGGTTCTTGTAATTCGTGACTGAACTTAATATTCCTGCGCACTTTGGAAGCTGTCGTTCGGTTCGTATTACGACCTCAATTCTCTTGAGGCCCCTTACGCTCCTTCATTTTCACGAGCAAACTACTACCCTTCGATATACCAAAGAACTCCCTCATTTCCACCGTTACCCTCCACCGGTTACAATCCTCAATCAGCTGTTGTCTTATGATTAACCGATCCCCGCCTTCCCTTGTTTTTTTTCTTTCATCCCGATTCTTTCCTCTCTGTTTACCCAGCTCTTGGACCAATCGCTTAACCACTTTTGGCCTTGTGCTACATAGCTTCCTTTTACTCCCGATCTTCCATCACTCTACATTTATACATAGCTTGCTCCAGAGCCTTTCATGGTTCTTACAAAACCGAGTATGAGCATGACAAATGAAATACAGCTTCTGCAAACTTCGCACCTATTCCAGTTTAACATTTCTGAGACTCCGAGTGGTAATTTGAGTCCAGTGTGCAATTAAGTCCAACATATAGGTAGTGCGTGATTGCCGCAGAATCGGGCAAGGCAATGGTTTCCCAGGCAGGCGGGCTCCTTCAGACCTTGTAGATTTTAGTTTGGCTTCCGGTGTTGTTACTTCCTTGGAAACTCATACCTCCTTATTTGTCACAGGCCATACACTGAGCCTCCACCAATCGGACTTCCACAGTGACTAGCTCGTGCGTTGGTACTTGTCTTTAAGCTTGGTCATCTGGTTGGCTAACTTGGTAAGGTATGGTTGAGCATTCTTTCTCAACCTGTCAAGCCCTCACCTGCCCCGGTCCTAGTATCAGCCGCTAGTGGTTTCCGATAGCAATCATATATAGAATTATTAGCAATTCCATCCCCAGGACTATTTCAATGATTGTGCCTCCTACACAGCTCTTGGTAGTTGTTCGTATCTCATAGAGAGGGCGTAGCTGCGGTTGGTCAATACGATAGTTAGATTGCGCATTCCAAGCTGTGTGTTGATCATTGGATCAGGGGGACCGTGTCTTCCTCTGCAGCTGCAAGTGGTTGAAGATCGGAGAATGTTTGTTGTCGATAGTTGGTAGTCGTGGAGGGAGGCTGATTGTGGGAGGATTATCTGAGACTGGCGATCAAGAGTAAGGAACTAGAGCTTCGGGTACTGCTTGGTGGCCTGCTCTCTCATAACTGGGATGCACCAGGGTTTTCTGACTGGGTTCACTGTCAGTATATCTAAATGGAAAAGGTCTCTTAATTTTTTTCTTTTCTGCAGTAACTATGCCCATATACATATTGTAAATCACTGGCACTCGCGGGAACTACCTTGTTACTCTAGCTCCATGTCCGGAGATTATTTCATGCGGATGGGTCCCAGATTGGTATGGCGGGGCAAGGGAGTGGGGGGTGCGATGGGGAAGCATGGATGGTGATCGGTTTCAGCAAGAGGGGGAGACTGAACCTGGTAGACCCCGGGAGAGGAGACAGAAGTGGGGAATAGAAGGAGAAAGCGAAGTATGACAACGATGAGGGAGAATCGTCAGGCAGCAAGGGGACATCCCCCGGGTATATATAATGTCGGGTGTTCTCTGGACAGCCCAGGAAAGCGAGCACGAAAAAGACGGTCCTCGGGGAGTCAGAATCGAGTTACAACCCCAGTTCAATGACAGAAAGCTTCCAGGGTGCAGAAGTGACGAGATTCGATCACGATTTACAAAAATACAAACACTTTCTACCTATGCCCATTGATAGCTTCTTGCAGAATCTAGAACTAGGTGAAGTGGTGTTGCAAGGGCAAGATCATTGCAGCGATTTTTTGCAATGAGAATGCCTGCTGCTTTAAATATCCCACGCATATCGACAAGCACACAACCACCAGAATCCCCATTGATCCCAAAGGGGATATCATCATCGCCCAGGATAGCAATCTCATGAGTCAGCCCTCCCTTGCCCCAATGCTGTAACAAAATCCGATTCACATAACCACCATGGAAGCCACTACTACGTCCAATTTTTTCTACCCTTGCATGTGGATACAAATAGCCGGTTTCGGTAATCGGGTATTCAGAATAAATATTTCTACCATATCTGTATAGTTATTTGACAATTAGTGGATTTGAATATATTGAGTCAGAGATGGAGGGTAAACTGAGTACACATACCTATTCTGAGCACAGGAAAATATACACCAGTCTACAGTTGTATGCCAAGATCTTTTTGTATAGAAAGTGGGCAAGCCAAGTCTCCAGAGCCCTCGGGCATAATTAAAAAGGAGTTTGTTCTGGCTAGAAAGTTCACGAGCAACGATTGTACCAAGGCGCCCACCATAAAGAACTCCAGTCTTTTCTTGAAACTGGTCAAAAGGATCGCTGAAGGTAACACCAGACAAACATGGCAGGAATCGGAATGTTCGAACCAGTGACTTTGCCTCGGCCTCCAGGCCGACAGTGACAGCAACACAATCTTCTGGCTTAGACAGAGATGTGTATGGCAAGAGAAACTTGAGTCTGGCAGTAACTTCGAGAGTGGATGGTGAACAGATGGGCATCCCGACAAGTGCGGGAGGTACACAGTGTGCGGCTGTGAGACCAAACACTTCGTTGTCTGGAGGGGACCTTTTTAGAAATCCAGTAAAACTGCCCGCTTCCACTAGGCTTCCTGTAACATAGTTAGATTCTTTCTATTCCTAGTTGGAGCTAACTAACCCTCAATTCCCAGAGATATTGACTCGAGTCTGATGGCTTCAGAATTTCTGATGGGGTCCATGGACCACCTGGTGGAAAATTCGGCCATGGGTTGGATACGATCGCGTCTTAAAAGCAGTGGTAACCCGTATGGGGCCGGTATGAAACGTGCCATTGGAGGGATACCTTCTGGGAAGCCAAAGAGCAATGTTGGAACAATACCCCTACTCTTCCGCACCCCTACAAGGACTCCATAAGAGTCCTGCTGATTTACCTTTTGGAGAATTCTGGTAATATAGTCCGATATTTGACCCATATCATAATGTAGTCTAGCCGGGAGAGGCCTAAGACCCCATGATTGCATTGGGGCATCCATAACAATACTTTTTCACAAAATGGTATTGGCTGAATCGGTGCCCTCGTATCTGTTGTATTAAATTTAACTCAGTATTAGAGTATGTAATCGACTTTGTAAGGAGATTGGAAAATTTTAAATGACTTTACTATATGGATGTTGGAGAGATCTTGGAAAGTCCCAACCTGGTAATTTATGCCGAAAGGAAAATATGCGGTGTTGAAATGGAAATGGAAGAAGGGCTGGGTTTCTCTTTGTCCAGTGGTCGGGTAATGACGGCCGGCTCAGAATATCTATAAGAGGAAGGGAGGGAGGGAGAAGGAGAAGCCAGGATAAAGTAACCGTACGAATAGTAGAAGGAAAGGTGTTAGGTCACTGTGTCATCCACAAATGCTGTGCAGAGAATAAACAAAAAAAATACGTAGTTATGTGGAGACTAGCATATTTATAGCTGATTTCTCACCGTTGACGTCATCTTTAATACGTCTTGGCATATCGGTGTGCCTCGGGATACAACTACTCGTGCCCCGGTGCCAAGAAATAGCAACCCTTTTAGCATAGCCCTAATCGGGTTACAATGAGAATTCGCTTGAGGCTCCTCTTGTTATGTAAGGAAGTGCCCCCTGCGACTGTCAGGCCTGCAGGTACTCCCACTAACTATCTGGCCACACATTTTTGCATCACTGGTAATCTACTCTTTGAAATGGCTCAAATGATAAAATTTTTAGGGCTCAAGGGGACCATGCAAAAGAGGTGCCAATTCTTGGTGCAAAAGCAGTAGTACATTTCTGGTAGGTCTTGTTTGGTTGCAGTAGTCCTATTACAGTGTAGTATCACATAGAAATAACTATTTTACTATGATTAAAAAATGGGAGAACAGAATAGGCTCGCATGTGAGGGCTCAGCGAGGCGACACCCTCAGTAAGGCTTGAGAATATTTGGCAGCAAAGATTGCCTACTTGTCCCACTGAGTGGAAGCCAGACACCCTTACCTGGTTGTTGATATATGAAAACTAGGCAGATACCTTTAACCTGGTTTTAAGTCATCCCTTAACCTGCTGAGACATTCAGTCCAGATTGAAATCTCTAGGACTAACCTAATTGGGAAAGTATGAGTAAATCAACGCTGAATCTCTATAACGACGCTATGCTATAGAGCTATGGCAACCTATGTCTATGCCCATACATAAGACCAAGAGGTCCTATGGTAGACTAGGCAGGTATGCCAGAGCATGTCTGAGGGATATCCGATGGTCCGGGTATCCCCAAGAACAGAAAGTACTTAAGGAATAAGTATATCCAAATAGTGGAAGTAAGGTGACTTTGTCCACTTCGGCTTGAGGATAGGTCAGAAGGCCAGGTGAGTTTATCCTGTCTAGGAAAGTCACATTACCTATGAAGATCAGTGTCATGTCACCATGGTCATACTTACCCTAGCTTTGAGATACTATTACCCTACCTTCTGTCAGGAAGGTTCTCAGAGGAATTCTGGGAACTGTCAGGATTGTTTGTTATGCAATGACGATTACCAGGCACTTGCTTGTACATTGATTGGAAGACTATGGGAAGAGCTATAGTGCTTCGAACATGCTGTAACTTAGCAGAATAACTTCTGAGATACCTGCGGCCCCAGGGTTCACCCTGGGCATCATAGGCCGAAATGGGTAGAGGTGCTGTCTTACTAGTTAGTTGGGACGATTGAAGATATGTCTATAACACTGCATACGTCGCTGCTGTCCGTCCCACCAGAAGCTGTCCGTAGGATATATAAGGAGGCCAAGGTGAGAAGGTCAGATATGTTCTCTAAAAGGAATGGAGTAAAATAGACCAAAACTGATAGAGCTAGCGTGAGCTCTCTGGAAGGGTCCCCAGGGTAGTCCCAGGTAGTGCTGGAGACATCTGAGAAGGTTTTACACCAATCAAGCCTACACGTGCCCCTTTGCTGTAGGCTCATTGTGGTTCATTTGAGGACTCTAATAGCATGATTATATGATACTCATCATGGTGAGTGGTGTGTCAGGGGTAAGGGACCATGGATAGTGCCGACAGGTTCCGCTGCTGCCTCAGCTCTCCATGGGCGCACTGTAGACCTTCTAAGTTTGCAATCAAGATAGATAGAACTTAACCAGAAGACTGTTAAAGGGTAGGTAACTCTAAGGTCAAGCGAGTTTACTCTAGGCCCTATGGTCTTCTGTCTCGGAGATAGTCAAGGAGGATTGTAAAAGATAGAAGTAAAGTAGAACGAATATATTGATAAGATTTCTTCTCCAGTCACTGATGATAGACTTGAAGCTAGGGATTTTTGTTTTTTTTGTTTGACTCATTTGAATTCTGTTTAAGGTACAAAAGGCATATGGAGCGCTAGCTAAGACGCGAAAAAACACTCCTTGCCGGCCCCGGGCCGAACGACAGAGGTAAAAAAACCCTCTGGAGTATAAAAAACTACTCCTGCCCAAAATCCCATCCATAAACTGCTCCACCTAATAACCCCCACCACCAAGTGACAAAAGAAAGCTAACTACTCGACAGTCAACCAAGAACGCACCTCAACCCCAAGAACGAAACACCTAAAGGCAGTAACCCAAACCGAACCCAGATGGGCCAACGATCACAACTCAATATCCAATATAGGAACCTCCAGGCCATATAATGAGGGCCAGGAGGAGGGAGCCGAAGTCCCGGACACGAAGAGTATAAGGGAAACCACCCCAAAGGTGGTGACTGAGAAGCGAGGAGAGGAGGTGTGTGGTAGGTGTGCCAGCGAGGGTGTGTCCTCCGGGACATTTGACGATTGTGGCAGTAAGGTACCAGCTTGAGAGGGGGTAGTAGTAGGGTGCCAGCCAATCCGACCGTGGAGAGGAGCCCTAAGCGAAGCAGGTGTTTTACTGCGACTCTCATGTAGTCCCTTGTTCTGGGAGAGATAACGTCACAGTAGTGGAAGGGATCCCACCACCTGCAAGCCAAAGAGGCCCTAAAGAGTAGAGGAGGGGTAGACCCAATTCCGTGAATGACAACTATTGGTAACCGCGTTCGTGTCCGGCTAGGCAGCCTCTTACGGGAGCAAGAGAATGGAGAGATCGACCGTAGCCTGTAAGCTATTCTCTCCTACTGCAACTATGATCCCAGCCATCTGTTGAAGGTGGAAAAAGGGGGTTGCTGACCGTACTAATGCCTAAGTGAGGCGGGGTAGAAAGAGGGGAAACATCACGAAGATGAGAAGCCTCAACCAGGGATGGAGCTGAGGGAATAAAGAAATAAATCAGGAGCCCAAGGGAGAGGGGAAGCGAGCCCACCTCCTGTAGCCGAGGCTAGATGGAGGGAGATGGGGGGGAGGTGGTGGTGCTACACGATGAAAGCCAGGATAGTAACTATAGTGTTGAGCTTTCAATCGCCAGAGGCGTAGCGGAGACGGAGGATGGACTTGAAGCTAGGGATTTTGTTTGTTTAACTCATATATTCTTTGTTAAGGTACAAGAACCTGCATGGAGCACTAGCTATGGCAAAAACAAAACCTTAATGTCAAAAACAACAAATAACAATGAAATATCTCCCCTCCAAAATCCCCGTCTTTGAGTAGTACAACCCACCGCGCCCGCCAGGGCGGCTAATTACGAAAGAAAAGACAAACCTTCTCCCACACGAAGAAAACATAAAGCACGGAAAGTCATTAATAGCTAGGAAAGACCACAGAAAAAACCGCCACTTCAATCTAAGATGAGGTTGGTACCGGGTGACGCCCGTACCCTGCCCATTGCGGGCGGAAAATTGGTTCTGGTATTGGAGATGTATCGTACTAGGCACCATAAGAGGTCCTTGTCAGTCCAGAGGGGAGCCTCCCAGCCCAGAGAATATACTCCTAGGATATGGCGCAGTCTTGAGGGGACCTTAGAGGGACAACTGAGGATCGCATGCTGCATAGTTTTGGGCCCAAGGCTACAGTCAGAGCAGGTGGTAGGTTTATCTGGCTCATTCCAGGGAGTGTGTGCTGCTAGATAGCTCTTTTCAGCTCTCATCTGATGTATTCTTCTGGCCAGGAAGCGATCCAGCCACGTAAAGGGGTGTGGGACCTCCGGCGGAGGAAAAGGGTAGTATAGCGGGGGGGGGGCCTGCATCGCCCAGTCCTGAGAAAGGAGGGACCGAGTGGTGCCTTTCAATAGGGGGTACCCTGGCGAGCCCTCTATCCACACCAGAGACCCACTGTATAGTCCTGGGAGGATGTGGTGCTGATGTTTCTGATGCTTCAGATTTTTGCAATGTCTTGGGTATCTCGATTGAGAACCTCACGGGGGAATTGATTCGATATAGCTGTCACGGCCTACCCCTTGGCTGCTGGCTTGCGGAAGATCCTGCGGTACTCCGGCATCTTCCTGTCGAGCTCCTAATACAACTTGAAATTCCTGTTCTGACATTTCAGGAAACTGATGTTTACAACATACACTGGGTGCAATCCACAGCAGACGAGCCATTCCAGAAACAGGGAAGCCGCAATAATTCAGTTTGGGTACAGACTGGTGGGGAGGAGATGTATGGTGCACTAAGAGGACGCCTGCCGGGGAAACTTGTAGCGCTCTTCAAACTCGGAGACTGCACACAGAGTAATAGAGTTTATCAACTTGCGTGTGTCCAACTGCTGAGTATAGTTAACCTAGGACGCCCATCTGGGTTTCATGATCTCATCACCGTACACCTGAAGCATGGTGCCCAAAGATTTACAATAGTAGATGTTGCTACCATTACCGGCTTGGCGCATTTGA